ACATTCAGATGCTGCACTCGGTGTTTACTGTGAGTTTGATGATTCTCTCTTGTATCCATTTAGGTTGGAGATGATTGCCGGCAAGATGTTCTTGCTCTTCAAGTGATATCTCTTCTTAGAGACATATTTCAAGCGGCTGGTCTTAATCTTTATCTTTTTCCATATGGAGTACTCCCAACTGGTGCGGAGAGGGGCATAATTGAGGTAAATCTCACTCTAAAATGTTTAATATCCTTGCTGGATGAAATAGATACGGTGTATGAGAACTTCTTTGTATCAAATAAGGCTGATTTTTTTCTCTTTCATATCTCTTTTCTTCCCTTATATTACAGGTTGTGCCTAATACAAGAAGCAGAAGTCAAATGGGTGAAACTACCGACGGGGGTTTGTATGAGATTTTCCAACAAGACTATGGGCCCGTCGGCTCAACCACCTTTGAAACAGCACGAGAGAACTTCCTCATCAGCAGTGCCGGTTACGCAGTGGCTAGTCTTTTACTCCAGCCCAAAGACAGACACAATGGAAATCTCCTCTTCGATGAGTACGTTTCCTATTTTGTGCATTTCCTTTGTTCTTTTCACTTGGTGCAATGGAAAAAAATAAAATAAATCAAAAACTCTCCATGGAAAAATATAATGTGGGAAATTTCATGGAAGTAACACAACTTTATTACCATGTGTTATGCTAATGCAGCGTGGGAAGACTTGTCCACATCGACTTTGGTTTCATTTTGGAAACTTCACCTGGTGGAAACATGCGGTTTGAGAGTGCTCATTTCAAACTGAGCCACGAAATGACCCAATTGCTAGATCCCTCGGGTGTTATGAAAAGCAAAACATGGCATCAGTTTGTGAGCTTGTGCGTCAAGGGGTACTTAGCTGCTCGGCGGCAGATGGACGGAATCATCAGCACTGTGCAAATGATGCTAGAAAGTGGATTGCCTTGCTTTAGCAGAGGAGATCCAATTGGTAATCTTAGGAAAAGATTTCACCCAGAAATGAGCGAACGTGAAGCTGCACACTTCATGATTCATGTATGTACCGACGCATATAACAAGTGGACTACGGCTGGATACGACTTGATTCAATATTTGCAACAAGGCATCGAGAAGTAAGAAGAAGAGGGAACTTGATGATATCCGAAATCAGAGTTATATAATTTGCAGGTAAAAATCTTTAAACCATCCAGTATTCCGATTTGCTAATTTTTATCTCCTCTCGGTTGGACATTCTGACTAATTAATTACTTGAGAGGAACTTGAGGATTTCTATTTTTTTTTTTTGTCGTAGGATTTTGCTATGCACAAAAAAAGTAACAAAGGAGAAAGGTAGGAGTGTTGTGTGGTGTGGGGATTTTCGATAACTTGAGATGTAAGCTATTATTATTATTCTTGGGTAGAAATGGTCAATGATTATGATTCCATGCGTTATATAAAACAATTTATTTTATTCAATGATGAAGATAAACTCATTACCGCATATTACACCAGAACCCATTTTGGTTCTTTCACTTCCTCAGCATCAGAATATGATGAAAAGAAGAGTATTAATAAAACAAAAGCGTTTGACAGAAAAAAAAATTTTGGGTCGTTTGGGATCAGTCAATATTTACATATCACACAACCAAAGGGTGGTGTGCGTGGAGTATTTGATAACTCCTCGAATCACTTGCCGATTACGCATTCGGCATCCTGAAATGGAGGGACTCATAAGCTGCCCCTATGATAGTGATAATCATCTCTCTGATAATCCTTGTGGCGGTATCCATCTAACTGACAAATTCGATATTTAGTAGCCCGTAAACTGGACCAAGCAATGTCAAACGAGTATTGGGATCATGGAATTTATGCAGTCCATGGCAGTATTTTGATCATTCACATAATTTGGTGAACATAAGCAACAAAGATTAAAGAAAAGTACATGTAAATACTTTTTTTTTTTTTCTATTAAGTCTCACCCTTTATTTGTACCCTTTATTGAGGAAGCTTAGCAATCTGACAGGATCTGCTTTATGTTTAATCTTAAGCCAACAACAGCTTAAGGCTTCTTGTTAAGGTATACACAACTTTGGAATCGCTCCTTGATGGCAATTTCCTCGGGATAGTAGTATAGTAGTATACTTAATTCAAATTGATTGATAGTAGTCTTCTAAAATATATGTAATTTTAATTCTTTTTTAAATCAACATTCAGTAGAAAATGTCTGCAAGTCAACATTAAGTCATGGAGTAAAAAATAAAAAGAGAGAACAGAGACAGAGAGAGAACTACGATAAAACGACAGACCAAACAACAGATCTATCAGTTTTGGACTGAGAATCGAAGAAAATCTCTGTCAATGGAACCGGTGATAATCGGTGCGCTGATTTTGGATATTCACGCCAAGCCTTCCACCGCACCAATCTCAGGAACCACTGTCCCTGGCCAGGTTTTGAATTTGATTTTTGAAATCTAATCATGTCTACAATTGGTTGGGAAAAGAAAAATCAATAGTTGATTTGATTTTTCTCCTGAAAGCTGGAGTAGTTAACGATATCGAAGCCCCACCCCAAGTGTGACAGTTATGTGTTGATAATTAGAACATAGATGTTTAATAAGTAATTAACATGTCAAATTATCTTTAATAGGTTGTGTTTGCGCCGGGTGGTGTAGCAAGAAATGTAGCTGAGTGCATCTTCAAGCTTGGAATTAAACCTTTTATGATTGGTACTTTGGGGCTTGATGGTCCAGGTGTGTTTATCAATAGTGTCATTGATTCAGTTTTTGAGAAAACATTGATCAGTCATTATTTTTGCTTCCTTGGGAGCTTAATTTGGTCCTTTTTTTATTTGTACACAGCCAATGTATTATTGAAAGAGTGGAAGCTCTCCATGGAAGGTTAGACTTTGCCTAAAAATTATCGAGGTTTTCTTCACGAACGGATCAGCTTTTTGCGATATATAGTAAAGCAATTGATGCACAATTTAGTTGAAAAAGTCTGTCCTTTTTACTTATTTATGAGACAAACAAAATTTAAGACATTTTCGTGGTCGATAATGGCAGGAATCTTGAGACGTGAAGACATTAGTACTCCCATTGTGTCCCTTGTATATGACATTAATGGAGAAGTTGCGGCCGGTGTTGCTGGTGTCGATGCACTTGTAAGTATCTTTTTTTGAAGGATGTCGTTGTTGTACTTACTTGTAGAAGTTACATATACATTGTTTCCTCGGCCAGGAAAAGTTTCTGACACCTGAGTGGATCCAGCGGTTCGAAGACAACATAAGCGCTGCTCCTGTTCTTATGGTAGATGCAAATCTTAGCACTCTTGCTTTGGAAGCATCTTGCAAATGTAATGCTTATAGTTTCTTAGTTTGATTGTCTAATCATCGTTTTGTTTTGTCTTCTTAACGGTTTTCTTCTTGAAGTGGCTGCAGAGTTCAATGTTCCTGTATGGTTTGAGCCCGTGTCAGTCACAAAGTCGCAGAGGATCGCCTCAATTGCCAAGTATGTGAGTGCCTCATGAAAGCTAGATTCTTTTTCGTTCTCTATGTTATATTTGCAAGCCAACGGATATAGGTTTTGTTTCCTAACAGGTAACAATAGTGTCCCCAAACCAAGACGAACTTATAGCCATGGCAAACGCTCTCTGCGCCAAGAATTTGTTCCACCCCTTTAGATTAGAAGAAAATAAGCTTTCTATCGAAGATATGTTCCGCGCGCTAAAGCCAGCCATTTGGGTTCTCCTTGAAAATGGTGTTAAAGTAGTTATCGTAACTCTCGGCTCCAATGGAGCTCTCCTATGCTCCAAGGGAAACCCGAAAAAGGCTCTGAACATAAACAGAAAGTTTCCCAGAAGTGGAGAGATCTTCAAAAGAGTACAATCTGTATGTTCACCAAACCGGTTTTCTGAAGTAGGAACGAATTTCAACCCGAGTCTTTTCGCAATGCATTTCCCAACCATCCCAGCCAAAGTCAAGAAGCTGACTGGTGCAGGTGATTGCCTGGTAGGCGGCACAGTCGCATCGCTAAGCCATGGGTTAGATCTAATCCAGAGTTTAGCAGTTGGCATTGCCTCGGCTAAAGCAGCGGTTGAGTCAGATGATAATGTGCCTCCTAAGTTCAAGTTGGATCTTATTTATGGTAAAGAGTTTTAAGTCTCGGTTAGCTCATACTTATATTGGTTTTATCGGGGCTGAGCCGGTTTACGTGTTGTGTTTGGTTTGACTTTACAGATGACGCAGAGGTAGTATACAATGGCGCGAAGATGTTGATGGTTCATCAGTCGATGCTATGAAGGATGATCTTGTTGTTTCTTTTGCTAAAACAGTCTTTGTCTGAGAGGAACCAACAGATCACTTAACAGAAGCGTCTCCGTAAGTAGTTTCTGCAGTACTTAGTTTTCTCACAAAACTTGATGTCGATATTGCACTTGGGCGCTTCAAAACTTGTCCTTGTCGTTTATTGCACAAAATCTCCCAAGTATCAAATCAACAGATGAAACCTTGGAAGACCTCAAACTTGTCGTAACCCCGTAATCAGATTTGTTCCAAGAGATAAACAAAGATAAAGCTTAGCTTCGACGAGGGACTCAAAATTGACAATTGAATACTCCTTAGTATTCTAAGAAGCTACTTTTACATTGCTGATCAGATTTGGTAGAGTAGCATAGAGGATGTCTACATGTATTAGATATCACAAGAAGAGCAATATGGAACAATTAAGAAACGAGTTTCCTCAACTTACTTAATAGTTTCTACTTGATCCTGATTTCTTATCCTCCAAGTTTCCATTTGTTCTCCGAACTTCAAAATATTAAATGATTTTATCCTTCCAAAAGCTTTTGAAGAACTCGTTAAATTATTTCATTAAATAAAACCCTGGAAAATCTAAAACCCACCAAAACCCCTAAAAAAAAAAACAATTAGTCGAATTAAAGCCTCAAACCCTAAGTATAAATATTAAACCTACGAGAGCGTGTTACATACGAAACCCTATATATACCTTAATTAAGCTCGCTCATTGAGCAGAGAACCCGTCTCAAACCTAAAACTCTTTCTTCAGACTTCAACCCGTCGATCTAGATCGTCAATATATCGTCTCCAAAAACAATGATTCTGGAATGGGTAGTCTCCGCCGCGGTGGCTATATCGATCATGGTTCTCTTCTCGTCTCGATATATCATGCGTTGGAAACTGGAAGAGATTTACGAGACAGCTAAAAAGAAGATAGATTCCTTGGAACGTAAGTGCGAAGAGCATATCGAGACAACTAAAAAGGATAAAGCTTCCTTGAATCAGAAGCTAGAGGTGATGGAGACATGTAAACTGATCTCAGACGCTGTAAGGAACTCATCATCTTAATTCTCACTTTTCCTTCATTGTTTATTCACGTGTAGATTTCTCGCTAGGGTTTTGTTACGACGACTTACGACTTATTTGTTTCGATTTAGCTAGGTCAATTTATATATATGGGATCGTGTAGTTGTAGTTCTGATTACACAAAATTCTTTTAAAGTAAATTAACCGTGATTCTTGTTTATGATCAGATTACCTCGCCATTAACCGAGATTAAATCAATGGCTTCACGGACCGGGTTGGATCCTCAGGAAATTAAAGATATGTGCAGAAATCTTGAAAACAAACAAGTAATTTATTTACAACCATCATATATTTACTACAAACCACATCACATAATCAATCACTGTTCTTTAATCTTATTTATCTGAAACATTTTATTTTTTTTGTTATAATTTATTATCTCAGGATGAGATTCTCGAGATACTGGGGCGCATAAGTCAAGCTACAGACGTTCAAGGCAAGAGTACTTGAAAGGCTTCCAATAACCCACAGCCCCTCCACACTTTGATGGGTTTTTTTTGTGACTGCTATATTTAGAACAATGTCTTTTATTTCATCTACACTGGTGTGTTTTGTAAGAACTTGTGCTAATTAGGATGCAGTTTCTTGATTTTTTTGTTTTGTTTAATTTATTATCACATCAATCAATAGTTCGTCACAACAAGTACAATCAATATTGTTCCGAAAACCAGCCCGGTTCTAGTCAACATCCGGACGCTTCTCCTTTTGTAGTTTGCTTGAATCAATCGTGTATATTGATTGCTTCCATCAGAGCCGGTCCAAATTTTTGTGATGCCAAAAACCCATTAAAATTTGATGTCCATTTTACTAAAGAAAAAAAAACAAAAATTCTAAAATTTGCATAGTAAAAGTTGTGAACCACCACATTCGAGCTTTTGAAGGGACAAATACCACCGCACCACAAGACATTTTTGTAATTATGATGCCCCTAAAATTAAAAATATATATTTTGCTGCCTAATGCACCTTTTTGTTGGGCTTTAGGTCTGGGCCGGCCCTGGCTTCTATGATCAGGGAACGGATTAATGCGTATTTGGTTAGCGGGCTCACGATCGTGGTTGCTATCACCGTGCTGACATTATGAGTTGGAAGGTTTAAAGTAATTTGTGATTGCACCTCTTCTCCATACATTAGATATGCAAAGATTGCCATAACACCATAGATGTATTGATGATAAGGGCAAATCTTATGAAAAGAATCTATAAACCCCATTAATAAAACAAAAACCGGTTTAATTAAAATGATTGAAGAAGTTTATTATAAACCAATCTTGTTAACTGAAAATGTTTTGATAAATTAAGTACCTTACGGAAATGTTTTTTTGTTCTTCATAGAATTGTAGATGGTTGGGAAGATAGGATGTGCTGTAGCAAACAAGATATAAACTAAGAGCATCTCCATCAGCAGAAACTCTGAAAGTTTCTAAAAAAAAAAAAAAAAATTATTATTTTAAAGTTGTAATTTTTTTTAATTTTTTTTTATTAATTGAACCAATAGGATTATGACATGTGGTAATGACATCATAGAAGAGTTTCTCTCAGTTTCTGAAACGAGAAAGGTGTCTACTTTTTTTTTGGTAGGCAGAAAGGTGTCTACTTTATTTCCTTTCTCTCTCTTTCTTTTATTATTTTTTATTAATTAGTGTCTACTCAAGACATCTCCAATGGAGATGGTCTAACTGCGGTGGATATTCCTGGCCAATTGACCAAAACACCTTCGTTCTTAAATTCCACATGCACCGTCACTAGCGCCAATCCAAAAAATAGACATTACTAGTATAACAAGAAACTAGGATCCCACCGGCCGAAATATATGAAAGAAAATCTTGTGTTTCCAACCACATTGTTGGAACAACGATTAAAGATGCAATAACGATAAACAAGTGTTTCTTGTCGAGTATGAAACATCCATGAAATCGGATTGCGGCATGTGGAAACATGTGATACATATTGTCAGCTTCTAAGATCAAGATTGCCGTCGCGACTTTTTTTTTTTTTTTTTTTTTTCCCTAATTGCCGTCGCGACTAAATACAATTCGATGTATATGAAGAAAGAGACTAGTAACCGACCTTTCTTCCCAAACGCTATGTTCGCTATATCAGGGTAACTGCGAACCGTAGGGTCGAGTTCGAGGCAACGTTGGAGGAGTAAACCGGTGTACCAAGTTGTTACTCCAATTAGAAAGAAAAACATAATGCTAATCCATCCACTTGACGAAAGTGCATAAGGAATAGCCAAGATACCAACACTTAACACATATACATGCCATTAACATATGAAATGCCTAGGCTGGATTATAGTTATATATGAAACTATATGTATTTTATATTTTATACCTGACAAAGAATTCAATGTGTTGAAACAAGGGTGGACGGAGGAAATGCCGACATCGCCGTCGTTGCCGCCGGAAAATTCCATCTTTAAATTTTGTTTTGTTAAAGAAAAAAGATAGAGAAAAAGAGCTAGAAGTTTTGAAAGAACTTAAATACATGACTTATGTTGGTGTCAAGTGAGTGGTATATATTAGTGGACCAAATAGATAAACCGGGAATTGGTTATTGAACCGGTTTAAATGTAAAACCGGTTCGGATCTTTTATCTCATCTTCTTCTTCTTCAAAAACACAAGATAACAGAATTGCCACCAAAGCTCCATTTTTATCCCCACACAGCAGAAGCTTGAGGGATGAGAAGAGTAAGAGCTCAAATTTCGAATATATGATTGTAACACTAAACCCTAATTTCTCCATTTCTCCAAATCCATCCTTTTCTCGACCTTCTTCGGATTTCTACAGAATTCGAATGTCTCTCTGACCACCAATTGCAAGCTTCAGAAGCCTCAAAATGGAATCAGAGATTAGTAATACCGGAAATCTCACGAAGACCATTTCACTTTCCGATTCAAGCGCCGCCGGTTACGGAAGAGACCGTTGGTGAAGTTTCCGGCGATGGAGGTGGTAATGGTTGGTGGAGGAGGAGGAGGAGACGGAAGAGGAGGATTAAGGTGTTTGAAGATATTACCAAGAAAGGTTTGTCAGTTTGTCTAATTTGCCTCTTGCTATTACAGAATGTTCACCATTGCTGCTCTCATGGCTCTTGGTAAGTTATTAGGGTTTTTGTAGATTTGGTTTTGCATCTGCATTGAGAACTGATCAAAGTTCATCTTTTTTAGGGACTGTGATTGAACAGGTGAACCCCTGATTTCTATTCCAAAAGTATCCAGAGGATATCCTGTACTAGGGTTCTTCACTTGGAGATGGATTTCCACACTTGGATTGGATCATATGTACTCTGCTCCTATTTTTCTTGGGATGTTGGTTCTTTTAGCAGCTTCACTTATGGCTTGTACTTATACTACTCAGATACCTTTGGTTAAGGTTGCAAGAAGGTCTGTTTTTTTCTTCCTTTGTTCGTTTGTAACTCATTGTTTCTACTGAAGAGCTCATAACTTTAGCAAATTGCAGATGGAGTTTTATGAAGTCAGATGAGGCAATTAAAAAGCAGGAGTTTGCAGATACTCTTCAAGAGCATCCATTCAAGACTTAGGAAATGATTTTGATGGGTGATGGATTTGAGGTTAGGATTAGTATTCTCCTTTTATGTGTTTGTGAGGTTTTGTCTTGGTCTAGTAGTAGTAATTTTTTCAGTTGGTTTGTTCTGCAGGTATTTATGAAGGGTCCTTCATTGTATGCTTTTAAGGGTTTGGCTGGTCGATTTGCGCCTATTGGAGTACATATAGCAATGCTTCTGATTATGGTGGGTGGAACTCTTAGTGCGACCGGGAGCTTTAGAGGCTCGGTCACAGTTCCTCAAGGGCTAAACTTTGTCATGGGAGATGTATTAGCCCCAGTTGGGTTTTTCTCATTCCAACAGATGCTTTTAATACTGAAGTTCACGTTAACCGATTCACCATGGATTATTATGACAGTGGAGAAGTGAGTCTGTTTTTTTGCTTTCTCTGGTCTCTCAAATTGTCTTCATGATTGAAATGTCTTGTGACCATTCACAATTAATTAGAATTCTGTTTGATTTATCTTTTTCGATTTGGTGTAGGTCTCACAGTTTCACTCTGATCTTTCACTACGCGACCTTATGGGAAAGAGGTTCTGAGAAAAACAATTAGCGTTAATGATCCCTTGAGATATGGCGGAGTCACCGTAATACCAGACGGATTGGAGTTTCTCAGCCTTGCAGGTGACAAAAGATGGTGAAGGACCATTCAACTTGGCAATGGCACCTATCAAGATCAATGGAGACAAGAAGTTATATGGGACCTTCTTACCAGTTGGTGATACTAATGCTCCCAATGTCAAAGGAATGTAAGAACCTTCTTGCCTTTGACGAACCTTTCTTTATAATTAAGCCAACGAGTGTATAAGTGATAAAACATTTTCTTGGATTCCTGACATAGAGTTTCATTTTGGTGTCTTCTATTGGCCTTAACTTAGCTCCAGTTGAATTATTTTCAGATCTATGCTAGCTCGGGATCTACAATCCATTGTTGTGTATGATTTGGAAGGAAAATTCGCTGGAATAAGGAGACCAAACTCGAAGCTTCCCATTGAAATCAATGGTATGAAGATCGTTATCGAGGATGCAATTGGAAGCACTGGCCTTGAGTTAAAGGTAAAAAGACTTCTTAAAATGTAACCGGCACACAATAAAGAGATATCCTAGTTTGTACTATTATATGACATATTTGTTCTTGGTCTTGTTTCTCAGACTGACCCAGGAGTACCAGTGGTCTATGCTGGTTTTGGTGCTCTAATGCTCACAACTTGTATCAGTTACTTATCTCATTCACAGGTAGAAGTAACTCTCAAAATCGATATCCCATCAAAAAGTCTTGTTTTATACCAATGTGTCCCATTGGCATTTGGGTCTACTCTGTTTTTTTTTTGGTGAAATTTAATCTCTTATGTTCATATGAAGATATGGGCATTACAAAATGGAACAACATTGGTCGTAGGGGGAAGAACAAACAGAGCCAAGAACCAGTTCCCTGATGACATGAATCGATTGCTCGATCAAGTTCCGGAGCTAATCAAAAAGAATACTTCAGTTGTCTCCGAGCAATCTTGATTAGCTCTTCGAATCTGATACATTTCAAGTCAGAACCAATAGAGTTGTACAGAATTATGGAAAAGGTATAGTATTCAAGAACGCAATAAACATGTTGCTGATCATATGGAAAAAGAGAGGGGAGCTATAGAAACTGAAACTTCAGAATTGATTTGCGTGGAGGTCTTGTTCTGAGTTACACAGTAAAGTTAGAATATAGAGGGTGAATACTATTTTTGTCTTGTGGGTATGGTTTTGTCGTTTGTCAAGTTATAT